GTACGTGGGGCAACACAGACCACGCAAAATCAATTTATGTGTTGGGAGACCCCACCCATAATTCAATAGAGCCTCCTAAACCAATTCGCTAGTAAATTGGCTGGCCAACTGATTTGTAATTCGTCAAGTAGGCAAAACCACTTCACCTGCATCCTCAAGCCTTAAGTGGAAAGTCCAGTTTTGACTTCCCGCCTGTTGACAAAAACGCGCCACTTCATTTAAACTCGCTCTAGCAAATCGAACACACCGCTTCGCGCGGCGGACGCGGTTGTTTACCTATTTATGCTGTAAATATCAGCCACAGACACACCCCACGTCACTCCACCCTCCGTGCAAATCGCATTTGACACTGCGGGTTCCATGTCACCTTGCTCAAGCATAAACTCGACTGACCTTCGGTGGTCCGCGTTGATTGGCCAATGCAACTAACTCGGTAGATGACCCGCGTGGAACGAGGCATTCTACAAAAGCGGCACATCACTTCGAATGCACCGTTTAATCCAATCTCTTTCCGTCCTTGAGGACAAGCAGCAAATCAACGCAAGGTTGGAAACAAATTTAAAAAAATAAGCAGTTGTTCTTGCGTTTTCAGGCCTGCGTGGGTTGTTGTCAGCGCTTCGGTAGTTACCAGGCACAAAGAATAGATCAACAAGAGTGGGTGAAGCATGAGCACTTAAAATGATCTCCTACAAGTACAAGCTTGTGGGGAGTTGAATTGGTTGGTAAATCGACTAGCAAAACCCGCCTTGGCAAAGCATCACCTCATTTTAGTGCACACACCCTTAGCAAGAAAACATGATTTCAGAAACAATTCGTTAGGTGGCGCTGGAGTGACCTTCAGCGTGGGCAGAATATCGTGTTTTATTAATGTTGACAAGGTAGTTGGAGTAGAGTACTCAAGAGTGCTGATTTTACGCTTCAGATCAGTTCAGCTGCATTAAAACAAGCGGCCTTAATAAGCACTAGTCGATAATCAGAATCCTGGGTAAGTTCATTACCCGTGGACGACCTTGAGCCAATAGGAATGGAGCGCGGTGCATTTAAAATGTGTGAAAGCGTGTGCACGACAGTATTATCAATGAATAGTTGCTGCCTGACGCAGGAATCCTGCGTGTGGAGTAGTTGGCAGAAAAACTTGTTGCCTTCGAAGTCAACACCTTAGCAAATGTGTGGGCATTATTTACGCACGTTGAAGAGCACGTGTGTGCATTTTAGGTTATCACACAGTTTGGAGAGTTAGCAAAACCTTTTATCTGGTAAATTTGTGCAGTAAATTTGCTCTACTAGGCCACACGTCAGGAAAAACTATTGGCCAATGCTGCTGACCTTGATTGCTGACCTTGCTGACCTTGTTGGTTGGATCAGGTACACACGCACAGATCTGTTGGAGTACTTGATGGTTCCTGCGAACGCTAAGCAGCCAGAACGACGGCAGATTGGTAATTTCTGCCACGAACCAAGCCGCCCCGTGTCGTATGCCGCCAAAGACGGCGTTAGATGAGAAGACAACAACACTAGCGCATTGAACGCTCTCTCTAAGGAGGCCTGTACGCGTGCGTGTGTTTTGGCGTGTGTGTGTGTGTGTGTGTGTGTGCACAGTGAATTGCGGAGTGTCGCAAATCTGCTGTTTTGCACCTTTTTTCGCCATCTCCTCTCGCACTAGAGTACGCCGTTTCGGCGGAGATGGCGGTGGTGGTGGTGGTGGTGATGATGATGGTGATGACTCGAGTTACTGGGTGTTGCTGAGAGCTTGGTTAACGTGAAGCCAATTGAAGTGTTGATCACTGCCCGCATGCATACACCGATCGCTATTGACACGAGAAAAAAAGGGCTGTTTCGCATATTTCAAAGTAGTACATTTCGACCTTGAACATTAGCTGGAAAGCGCCTCATGCGTGTCATCATCTATGCAACCTATGTACTCGACTTTGTGCTCAAGTCTCAGTCAATACCGATGATCATCGATGCTGACAAAATACGCTGTATTTCGTCAAAGTGGGTCTACTGTATACGCTCCAAGAGAGCAACTACTTTAGGTTATTTTCTTAACCAAAGTTGATGAACATTCTTTAGCAATGTTACTTGGTCTAATCTATGATCACAGGGGCGTATCGCACGTCTAAGTAACGCAGCCATGTTCTGATAACGTTTTTTTTACAAAAGTGGAAAAATGAGGCTTTATCTGTGCACAACAAAGTGAGTTTTCCTAAAATAAAAAACAGAAGTTTGGCATTTTTTTCGAAAATTCGACGCCAAATCAGTTCAGGAGTAGGCGGTATTGGAGAAAGCGTCTGACAGACCTAGGTGTCATCGGGAATAGGTTGCGCCATTATTTATGAATTAAACATTGTAGGAAGAAACCAACTTCCTCGTTCTGCCATTGGACGGTTTTATCGACCGCCGATTCGCTTGTTAATAGCGATTCATTTCTTCGACCAATCAGATTAAAGACCACATTGACTCACCTCATCGATTACATCAAGGACTCAAAAGGAAGCAACAGTTTATAGCGTGGTTCACCAATAGGATACGGAGTAAAAAACTAATTTTACAGGTGGGGGGGGGTAATGTGTTTGGGATTTAGGTTACAATATAAATCAATTGATCTATCGACCAATCGGATCGCATTATTACCAGTATTTATGCGCTTGCAGGCAATATTGCAAGTGCTGTGAGGCAGTTCATGGAAAAATTAATAAAAAAAACAAACGATAAACATTTATTGTTTAATGTCAGCTGACATTCAAGTCATTAGATTACTCGGTGCACATAATTACGCGTTCTTGCAATGCTGCGCCACACTTAAATACGAACTAATCAGGGGTGCTGACAGCTTATCACAAGGGCCGCTTCCACACAGGCTAATTGGTGTTTAAAAAAAATGCAGTCGTGCACGACATGAATTCGCCTCTCAATGAAAAATGACATTTTCGTTTGGGGCCACACTTTCGTTGCTTGGCAACGTTTGCATTAAAAAAAGGTAGAAATAAAGAAAATTGCCCTGTGAGACGGAATTGTGTCGTTCGGAATTTTGTTTAAACGCACGGTTCCAGTGACCTTGCGAACGACCAATCGATTGACCGGGAGCACTCAAAATGCCACCAAACGATGCCTCTTGGAAACGAGCAGCAGTAAATTTGTCAAACAATGACTGATGTCGGTCAGGGCATAACAAACTATTTAAGGTTCAAACAAGCAATTAAGTTGTTTAAAAAGTGATTGTCAATGCAGCGTCACGAGGTGTACTTTGTGGTTTGCGCATCGCGGATTCTAATTTTCAAACTTCTTAACACGCATTTTCGATCTGCTGTTTCGATGGAAACAAAAAAATTAAGCATTTATCAATCTAACCACGCCCATCTCGTGTAATTACACCAAAAACCTCCCTATTATTACCAAGGATGGGCATTATACTGCTGGGAGCTTGACTAAATCTATTTCTGTCACGCCTAACCTTGACTTATTTGCTGTTAATTTAAACAAATTTGTCAGTAACCTTGAGGTTAGAGCCTCTCATCGCTACTTCAAAGCCCTAAAAAATTTCAGCAGGAAACCATAATGATTCACTGACGGTAATTAAAACTAGGAGATCAGACCCAATGGTAGATCATCCAACCGGGAAGCTTAACAGGAGTTGGCATAAAAGACGCAGTTTCTTCACCATCTAATCAGATGAATATCCCCTTCTTGACATTTGGCTGAATCCAGAATTCGACAACAGAGGTTACAGGCTTCCTTGAAATTAAAAGTGAGTCATCGCCATGCATGACATCATCTTCCACCTCCCACCCACTAGACCAATGAGCACTGGCCACGTAATTGGCAAATCTGAATCCTGGGGCTCGCCACGATCGATTTTTGCGCGTTACACAAAGGTAAATTGAAACAACTAGTTGTGCGAAATGAACATTTCGCGTCGTATTTAAATGCTTTGATTTACGTGATTGTAATCGGAGGTGTTATTACAGTGTATTTGTGTTTACAAGAATGTCTAACTTCAGCCACATTAAACACGATGTAAAGATTGAAGCACTATCAACGCATGGGCTGTGGTTTAGGCAAATCTCTGCAAAACTGCCAACGCATCGTCTTCGACAGATGCGTCTACACTGAAAAGATGGCCACGACTTCGCTGACTTCTTCCAGTGTCATCCTGCATCTCCAGAGATCAGCTAACTGCAAGGTTCTGCAGATCTGAGCAGTACAGTGAAGTCTTCCTCCGTTCAGACTATCACAACACCCATTACTCCTTATTGCTCGTCGTATTTTTGGCGAAATCGTACCGTCATGTTGGAGGGGTGTATTGTGAGATTTCTGCGTTTGGGGCAGATTTTTACTCTCAACATCACGCCCCTCTCTGATGAGTTAAAAAGACTTAGGCGAGGGCAGGAACCTGGACAAAGGATTGAGTTCACACCTGGCCGGGCCCAGCTTGAAGCTGATTGGCGGTGGTGGTGAAGGCAAATGCGCCTTTTGCATCGAAGGCAATTTGAAAAACCTCCCCAGGCTTGTCTACTAGAGGGATATTTTTATCGCGGCGAGGCTTGTGTGTTTATCTACAACACTGCGCACGCGAGCGCATGCGTCGGCTTGCAAGTACTACCTGACAGGGGGTGCGGGCGTGGCGGCTTTGACGGCTGCAACAAGCGCACGTGTGTCCCAGACTGCGCTACATACAACCCCACGCTAACACACACACACACACACACACATACACACACACTGCAACTCGCTTTTTCCCGCTTCTCCAGAGCGCATGTCTGAAGCACGCATGCGTGCGCGCGCGCGCACACACACACACACGATGACGTCAGCTCTCACGGTGCCGCAACCGCCAATTGGCTGACACGTGCCGCCGCCATTGGCTGGCCCAAGGCCGTGCACTCGCGTTGGCGCACGCGCGCACTCAAATAAACAAGCCACAGAGAGCGTCACAGTGTGTGTGTGAGACAACAGATATACACACACAACAGGGTTCGTATGTGTGCAGTTCTAAGTGGATGGATAAGTCGCCAAAGTCCCAGTCACCCGGGCTACTGCAGGCTACCTCTGCTGCCGCGTCGTCGCAACCACCGGATTACTTGGGCCAACTGGACCCCATGGTGCTAGATCAGCAACTTCGAGAATTGACGCGACTGCTTCAAATTTTCCATCCCCTCCTCGCGTCGATTCCGTGGTCTGGAAACAGCAGGATCTCCGACTCCGACGTCTCCAACTCCTCTGACGTCAAGGCGTCGAGCAAGAACCTCGAAGAACAAGAAATCAAAAGTACGTATCCACACACTCGGTAACTTGGAGGCCATCTCTTGTTTCACAAAGTTCCGGCTTTCCAATGTAGTTGCTTTTTTGTGATGGTTTTACGCTGAGGGTGCTTTCGTGAATCTGGCTCATCTTTTTTCATAATTGATCCCCGTCAAACTCTAGCGATGTAATAAACACACAAAGAGCAGGTATTTTTCAGCCCCTCACCCCAAGCCCACTCGGCAGTGTGTGTGTGTGTGTGTGATTTGAGGGAATTGCGTCGAAATTTACTTTCTTCATTTTTGTTTTTTGTGTGTTTGGGTGCAATTATGTCGGCGTTTTGGTGCACCGCACCCCATACACAAGCATTAATCAACTCGTTCGAGCCCATGAAAAGTACAGCTTCTGGTTAATTGTCAGGCCTTGCACTAACCGACGCTCTGTTTACCATTGCAACCGGTCCCTTCGGCCGCCTCAATTGATTGGTGCCTCACAAGGTCACAGGATTCGTCAGTTTAAACAAAATACCCATCTGTGTATTTGCTCTATCGAAAGGCTTGGGTTTTGGGCATTGCCTTTTTACGCAGGGCTCTTTTTTCATCATCTTTTGCATTTTTGTCTTTCCCCGGCATTGATTGAAGAGCTTGTTTGCCTAAAAGAAGCGTTCTGCCCACGTCTTTGTGTCTAGTCCTTCGACGAAACACGATAGCCGGGATTTTCGCGTGCCCTTAATGCGATTTCTCATGGCAGTTGTCAATTTGGACATTAAAAGCTAGGTTTTTGCGTCTGCAGCGTAGGTTACCCGTACTGGTGACAGCTGACGATTCGTGCCAGTCTCTAGCTAACGCCACTTTAAAATGCACAATTACTTCGAAATTTATGGTGCACGATTACGCGTCGGAGTCAGTCAAATGAGCTAAATTGAAGCTGGAAAAGACAGAATCATCCTAGTACCACTGACTAGTTTTGTGCGTCGGTGCTATGGCTACCAAATAAATATGTGCTCATTATATGCACTTGGACGCTTTCAAGGCCTGTCCACTAGAGTTCTATCCACGATAAAGAGCCACAGTTAGACTTGGGCAGCCGCCATTTGATCTTGGAGCCCACCCCATTGCAGGCCAAGTCACCAATCACAACAGACCTTAATTTTCCGCCGAAATATCACCTGTTAAATGTAGTCTTGACGTCGAAGATGGCTACCGGTTGCACTCCCCAACATCAAGATCCCTGTAAATGCCGCCTCCCTAGTCTAGTCACAATGTCAATAATCCACAGCCTGTTTATTTTTTGCTTGCGCGAAGCCAAGTGATTTTAAAGCCCCGCCATAAAACTGGGTTATTATAAACACCGTCAAAAGGACGGCCCAAATTACTGCACAGCTCGCATAATGTTGCTATAAATTGGACCGCAGCTTACGTAAACACGAGTCGGTACTTTTTATCATTAATCAGAAATTGGGAACAGACCACTGAGGTCAATATTTACCTCTTCCTCGATGGTCTTCGATGGTGTTTGGCATTCACGAACCAGCCCCTCACAAAATGCTGTTTGTTGTTGTTGTTGTCGTTGTTTAAACCTAACTTCTACAGATTGAAATACCAAAACAATATGTGTTTTTAATCGAAAGCGGTTGTGTTGGTTTTGGCTGCTCCAATTTCTGAATATTCTGAGTAGGTACAGTTAAGGAAACCCTTTGATCTTGAATCCACAAATGTGATTGGTCAGTTGGTGTGTCGATTGTCTGCCGCGAGCGCGCATGTTTGTAACATCAGAAATCGATAAATTCTTAATCACGCCAGCAGCCGAGTACATGAGTCATCAGCCTCATTCTGACGGCTGGCCCATCATCCTCATACTTAGTTCACGACGCAAAAGAGATCGTTTTTCAAACTACACTTGTCTTCGCCGTGTTTGTTGGAAAATGCCTGCGCATTACTGCTAGGCATGTTGGTTGCTTAGAAACCAACGTGAAAAGGCAGTTGTGTTTATGACAATCTACTTGCAACGTCAATCATCCGTGAACAACGCAGGCCCAAAATAAATCAGGTGTAACACCAGGTGAGTAGGGTAGTTGTGAGTACCTGGTACTCACGCGACGCTCGTTTTTTCAACTCAATGGACGTTGGAGATAAAAGTTTCCATAGATCTCCACCGTTTGGTGTCAAACTTTGCCCTAACCAGACTCATACATCCACACCCTCACCCACACTTAGACATCAACCGCTTGCGTTGAAACCATCGTCTTGGAGCTCAAAACTGCTTCACTGAAGGTAGAGTGACAAAGTGTTGGTGGGATCAGGTACACACGCACAGATCTGTTGGAGTACTTGATGGCTCCTGTGAACGCTAAGCAGCCAGAACGACGGCAGATTGGTAATTTCTGCCACGAACCAAGCCGCCCCGTGTCGTGTGCCGCCAAAGACGGCGTTAGATGAGAAGACAACAACACTAGCGCATTGAACGCTCTCTCTAAGGAGGCCTGTACGCGTGCGTGTGTTTTGGCGTGTGTGTGTGTGTGTGTGTGCACAGTGAATTGCGGAGTGTCGCAAATCTGCTGTTTTGCACCTTTTTTCGCCATCTCCTCTCGCACCAGAGTACGCCGTTTCGGCGGAGATGGCGGTGGTGGTGGTGGTGGTGGTGATGATGATGGTGATGACTCGAGTTACTAGGTGTTAATGATACTTTGGCGAAAAAATTGGACTATTGACTCCATACCCGTCCACAGTTTGATCAATTGTTAATTGGTGATTTCCCTCTGAGACTTGATGGAAGCTTCCTTGTCATGTGGAGAATGATCCATGTTTAGGAAAGCACCGTTAAGTGTGTTCGCGCCTGCTAAAATTCGGACAAAATGGTCCTGTACGTGCGATCTGAATACGCAAAACGCTTCATGGTTGTTTTTTGTGTGCAAACATGTGCACAAATGCGCTACCATGTGTGTGCATGCGTGTGTTTGTTTGTGTGGTTTGTAAACAGTGCCTTGGTAGCGTAAATACTAACGTCATTTTCATGCGCTTTGTCATATGTGTATTTGCCAACGGTGATTTAATCTCTCACAAACACACGCGCGCACACACACCACAAATCGTGTGTGAGTGGGTTTTGCGTGTGGTTTCACACCGACGCCACTCTCGCTGTGTGCTTGCCCATCGGTGTGCCTCAGGACCCAGTGTTTCAACGCTCAAAGACGGTTTGGTGTGGCGGTGGCGGTGGTGGTGTGCATGTCTTGTTTGACAAAATTAATTGTGGCTCTAGATTGAGGACGAATGTACACACATGAAGGCGACACAGGCGTGCGTACACTGGTGTCGTTTAAATCACAACCCGCTGGCCTCCACATTCCCTACTTTTGTGTACACACGTTTTCGCGCTGGCGGGACGTGCAAACGCGCTCCGCGCGAGATGTAAACACGACGGCGAGGCGATGGCGTGATGAGTCATCGCGCACGCACGCACGCGAGCGAGCGCGCGCGCATGCATTCTGGTGTAGCGCAGGGGACAGGCGTTAGTCATGCCATTGTAAACAAAGCGTCGGGTAGTATCGGGGCCAACATATCAACTGATGCATGGGAAGAGCGAGTGGTAAGGCCATTCATCCCGCGCCCCGCGGCCATCTTAACTCCCAAACACACACACACACGAAATCACATTGCCTGGTTTGCGGACCTGTGTTTAGGCGCTTGGATGATTCCGCGTTTTTTTCGGCTTCAATTTAGCCCACTTGACCGACTTAGACGCGTAATCATGTGGCTTTCCTCGGTGGACGTTGACTGTCGTCTAGTTCGGGTCCAAATAGCTGTGAATGGGTTTGGTTGTTGCATGCCTGCAAGCTCTCATCGGCTGGCTCCAAATCAGACCAAGGCGTCAGCATTGTGTGTCTGGACTCAAAACGGCAGTTTGGCGTTTCTGCGCAGCTAGTTTGCGCTCTTTTAGTGGAAGAGCTTTGCGTCTGGGTGTTGTTGATTGCACATAACACTGACTGTGGCGATGACGCATCACAGCCTTCGCCGTGGTTTAATGATTCACGCTGCATTCTAGTAAAACAAATCGTCGGCCGTTGTGTCTCTTTGACGTTGTCGCTTCTCGAGGGCATTAACTTCCCCTTTTTTCCGGTCTGTACTCGCCGGATTCTCACGTCCACAGTTAAAGACCTATGGAAAGCGTCCACTGTGATGTAAGCAAAGCTTTCTTCCAAAGCCAAAGTAGAAAAACCATGCTTAAGAGATTTCTGGCTTGATTATGGGCTTGGGACAATTGCACTTCGACTGTCTGCATTTCAGCCGAACGCCTGCACATTCTGCAGGACGAGCTGACCCGTCTGCGCGAGGTGATCGACCGCAAGAGCCTACTCTCCGCGTACACGCCTTCCCCGTTGTCGCGAAGCGCCGCCGCAGCCTCGAATCACAATCACTCCGCAAGCACGTCGCCTGGGTCGCTTCAACACGTTGGGCTAAGTGACATCGGTTACCCTGACAGCGGTCGCTGCTACTGGCCCAACTGTTCACACACCGCCACCTCGCCATCTGGTGTGACCGCGTAAGTGACCCATTTCGGCTAAATTAGACACCTCTTTCACGACCTCTAGGGCCGGCGATTGGCTTCGGGCTCAGCTGACCGCTCCAAACACGCCATTCTTCGGCGGAATTTGGTAGAACTCATGCTCGTGCGTGCGTGCGTGCGCGAGTGTGTGTACATGCGTGTTTTAAGGTACCCTGCGTGTTTCGTGAGCAGAGTTTGCGTTTTGTTTACCTGCGCGTTGCCTGCCACCTTCCGGACGTGTACACCGCCGCACGCTTGCCCCGTCGCGTTCCAAGGTCGCGCGGAATTACGACGACAACGACGACGACGCCTCAAGGTCACTCGCGCTTATGATAGCGCGCTTGTTTGAAAAAAAAACTGACACTTGCGCTCCGCGCGTGTTTGCGAGTGCGTGCGCGCGAGCGCGCTACGGTCAATTAATTTGTTTACTGTCCAGTCGATGCACGAGGCTCGAGAGATCAAAGCGCTGGAGGGGTCTGGAAGTTGGGCATCTTTGACGGGCGCAGGGACGCACTCCAGCGCGTTGGAACGAGTACGTTGGACGCATCGATGGCTATGCATCCCTGTGTGTGTGTGTGTGTGTGTGTGCGTAGTGCAGTAAATTGCTGTTTCAAAAGGCCTTGGAAAGTGGGCTCGGAACGGGAGTTG